ATAACTTAGTATACAGTTACAGCTAGATGAAACAAAGCTTCATGAAACTATACTTTGATGCACTCTAATGTTTTCTCTGTAATTTCTGAAAATTGTCAGTTTTGATCCATCAACGGGTTAAGAACCGACAGTTGAAAAATGCTGCTGTTTGACATACATCATTTAGTATTAACAGTGCACGCTGTCATAAAATCATGAGCGTTTTCAAATGTTCCTTAGAATTTCAAAGCTCAACAGAGTCAAGTTTTATTACAGGCGCCACTGTAATTTCTGAGTTGTGTGACCTTGGGAAAGATGTTGAACTTTTCAGCCTCAGTTGTGTCATCTGTAAAATGGAGATAGTAGGGGAAATACGCACTTCACAGACTTCTCGAAAAGGATTAAACGAGATGGTGTCTGTGAAGTGCTTATCAGCACAGTGGCCAACTGAAAGGCCTCAATAAGTGGTAAATATCTTTATTAGCCATGAATCCATGAACTTCTATGTTTGGGCCTCAAAGGAATCAGAATCGGCTTCAAAAAATATGTTGTCCCCTAGTAGCTTCTTTTTTTTTTTTTTTTAAATACATTTTTATTGATTTTTTACAGAGAGGAAGGGAGAGAGATAGAGAGTCAGAAACATCGATGAGAGAGAAACATCGATCAGCCGCCTCCTGCACATCTCCCACTGGGGATGTGCCCGCAACCCAGGCACATGCCCTTGACCGGAATCAAACCTGGGACCTTTCAGTCCGCAGGCCGACGCTCTATCCACTGAGCCAAACCGGTTTCAGCCCCTAGTAGCTTCTTTTAGCTCTTTTTACCTATTTGTTTTTTATGGAAGTGACCTTTGGGAAGGCCCAATTGTTGGCTCTAGTGCTCAGTAAAAAGTACTCATTTTTCCAACAGTTGTCGGTGGTGGCATTGGCAAGAGTGTTATTCGGAAACATGGGGAATGTTGGCAGGTTTAGTGGTGTTTGCTGTTGGCGTCTGCCTTGGCATAATCCTAGGTGAGAGAGGGATGCCTGGGGTTTCTCATTGATTCATCTCCTTAGCATGGAATTCTGGCTAAACTGCATCTGACTTGGGGGGTGGGCAGGAGGAGCCCAGAGGGCCTCATTATGGAGGAGTTTACCTCTTTGAAATCCCCTCTACTGAGGAATTATTCTGCACCATTTGAATTTCATCCTTTTTCATCTGAACAACTTTGGCTGCTGGTAGAAATAATTAAACAGAAAGTGTTCTGGTATTTCTGGCACAATTTAAAGTTTTTTACTCTTCTTAATTTAATAGAATCCTAGGATTTTATTGCTGGGAGAGCCCTTAGGAGATCGGTGCAACTCTGCCACTGGATAGGTGGGAGTCCTCCTTCATAGCGGGAGCCAGCGCTCCTGCCCACGTGAGCTGGAGAACTGGAGATGTTTTAACCATAGGCACTCGAAGAAAACCATTCCTGTTACTACTCTGTGCGGACCTGACTGCATGCATCACTTTATTACCTAGGATTGCACCCCATTTAGAGTTCTCAGTGGCTTAACACAACGAAGATTTATCTGTTGCTCACATATCACGTTCAATCCGAGTCGGGCTCTTCTCTGTGCAGACCCTCAGGGACTTGGGCCGCATCTTGTAGCCAGTTAGGACACATGCCTTCCAGTTGCCATGGTGGGGGATCCGAACTCACTCCTCTGTGCTTCTGCCCAGAGGTGATAGAGTCGTTTTGCTCACGGCTCATCTGTCAGAACTGGTCATATAACCCTGCCTAATTGCAGAGGGGTGGAAATATGGGGGAGAAGGGGCATATGGAGTATTTGATGACTGTTACCAGGGAGAGTGATACTATGGTAATATATATGTTAAGACTATAGATTGAAAAAAAAATGTAGCTTCTTATTCTCTAGATCGACCCCGTTTCATCACTCTCCCAGTTTTCTAAACCTCCAGGCTCATAGAGGCCATCATGGCAGCAGCTTTTACTGATAGTCTGGTGGGGACAGGGAAGCTGCTGCCAACCACAGGGTCATGGGGCCCGGCCCGTGAGCAGAGCGGCAGAGAATACAGAAGAGAAATAGTGGGGGCAGCTGTGACTTCATCTGCTGACACTGTGTGTTTACTTTGTGTGGTAGGTTGAAAAATACCCCTCCTCTGCCCCCAAAGATACCAGGTCCTAATCCCTGGAACTAGTGGATGTTACCATACTGTACCTGGCAGAAGGGCTGGTACAGATGGGATTAAATGAAGGATCTTGAATGGTGGGATTATCCTGGGTTATCCCAGCGGGCTCTCAATGCTGTCACATCTTCAGAAGAAGGATGCAGAGGGACATTTGACACAGTGACAGAAGAGGAGGAGGCAGTGGAACCACTGAGGCAGAGACTGAAATGAGATGGCTGTGAACCAAGGAATGCCGACAGCCACTGGAAGCTGGAAGAGGCAAGGAGTGGATTCTCTCCTAGAGCCCCAAAGGGAGTGTGGCCCTCCTAACACTTGATTTTGGCCCAGTGGTATCGATTTTTCACGTCTGGCCTCTAGAACGAGGGAGAAATAATTTTCTGTTGTTTTATGCCACCAAGTGTGTGGTAATTTTAAAAAAATATATTTTTTAATTGATTTCAGAGAGGAAAAGTGAGGGAGAGAGAGATAGAAACATCAGTGATGAGAATCATTGATCAGCTGCCTTCTGCATGCCCCACCCCGGGGCTCAGTCCTGGGAACTGAACTGTGACCTCCTGGTTCATAGATCAATGCTCAATCTCTGAGCCATGCTGGCTGGGCTGTGGTAATTTTTTATAGCTGCCATAGGAAACATATACTTGGGTTCCCAGTTTCTTGGTGAGCAGTGGCTAATGCTGTTATAACCAGTGCCCGGAGGATTTGGTGGCTGGAGTGAAGACTGGGGAACGGTGGTTGGAGAATGGGGTTGGAGTGAGGATTTTTTTTATATCCCCCGTTTTTACCTTTAAAATTTGAACTATGTGAATGTACCACCTATTCAAACAATAAATAAAAGCAACCTTTACAGCCCCATGAGTCATGGTTACTTTTGTGTGTCTGTTTCCCTGACTAACAACCAGTGTAACTTGTGCTCTGTGACATGCATTTTGAGGACTTCTTCTCAAAATGTTGCCCACGGACCTTACCATCTCGCCTCCTCTAATGTCTTCTCTTTCCATTGTACTTCTGATGATTGGGTCTGGGTCAATGATGGGAAAGAATTATGTGAAGGAAAATGAATGATGGTGTAATGCCGGGAGCCGGTCCATGCTTGCTGTTTCAAGGGACCTGGCATATATGGCATACTGTTCTTAATATGTTTGCTCACCTTCTTGGCACTATGTGTTTTAACCAAGGTCTCTGAGAAAGGTTGTTTCCCCAGGTAGGGATTTTCCCCTGAAGTTAGGGAGGGAATAAAACCTCTTAACTAGTGCCAGGTGGGTAATTAATCACTTTAACTACGAACAATCATGCTTAAGCTACATAATCTTTACTCCCTGGAATGGAGATAAGAAACGCCCTAACCTTTGTAATAGAGATTGGTAGGATTGAATCAACTGGTATAAATACAGATGTAATAAGACAGCAAGAGACAGAACTTAGAATACGGAACCAAGAGAGACAGAACCTACACAAAACCTACAGACAGAAGAACTTCGCTGAAGAGAACATGGCAAAAGATCCTGGACTGAACCTGACTACAGAAATTGGCAAAAGAACCTGACTAGAACCTGGTGACTGAACCTGGCTGGAGAACCTGGACAGAACCTGGCTGGAGAACCTAGCGAGGGAACATGGCTACAGAACCTGGCTGGAGAATCTGGAGAACCTGGCTGGAGAACCTAGCAAGACAACTGGACACAGAACCTGGCTGGAGATCCTGAACCAGAACTTCACTGGAGATCCTGATCAGAACTTGGCTAGAGATCCTGGCTAGGCTGCTGATCAACTGAATGCTGTCTCCGTGTCCTTCCTTCTTCGCCGACTCCGTCCACACCTTTGGGGACCCCTGGACCTGCTGGGGTTGGACCCTGGCAGTGTAATAATTGTAACTTTTAATTAGAATCTAAAAATGCAATTTAATTAAAAATTACCTCCGAATTACCTCTCATTCTGGATCTAGGCTTCCTGACCGGTGTGCTGAGGTTTCATTTTCTCAGCCTTGGTGACTGTGGTCAGGGGCGAGAGTGGCCAGAGCCCCCAGGCTGGTGGCTTCCGCTTCAAGAATAGAACCCCTTGATGCCACTGTGTTGTGTAAATACTAGTATCTTCGGTTTAGTGTGTGCAGTGATGTGGAAAGGTTGGGAAATACTGCTCTGGCTAAAATGTGGCCTTATATTTTTAAAATGTCTGTTGCATAAAATAGCTATAAAAAACAAACAAACCAGTTGGGTCTTTGGGAAAACCCCAGTGATGGTTTGGCTCCAGTGCAGGCGTCCTCAGCCCCTTTCCCACTGTGACACGCGGCATGGATGGTGGCTCTGTGCTGGGGAGGCTGCTGGCACTCCTTCCTGCAAAGCCCCAGAAGCAGGCTCAGCTTCAGTGTCTCCCACACAAAACCAGAAAAGAAGGCAGAGTCACATTTTAGGAGATGATCCTGAGTTCACTCTAATTTACCGAGAAATGCATGATTGAAAACCCGGGTGTGTCTGCTCTATAGGAGCAGAGTTTTCTGACCCATCTCATAACTGAGGTCACATTTCGTATTGTGGCTAGCTGAGTCCAAGTTCATTTCCAATTCGCCAAGTAAGAGATTTTAAGTATTAGTGACAAGCGAAAAACAATGCAGTGGTATTACATGCAGTATACAAATAAGAGCTTTATCAAGTTCAATTGTCATTTGAACTGTAATATTTGTTGTTCTGTTACGTCCTGGTGGGTCTGATGATGTTGGTAATGCTGTCCTTTATGTTTTCTGGAATCAGTAACTGAATTAATATGTCAGTGTAGTACTATCTGAAGAGCTCAAAGAGCTATTAAAATGCTTAAAAATAAAATGATCAATTCTTCTTTTGTTCTCTTGACAGGATAATTGAAGCTATCTGCATAGGTTGGTTCACGGCAGAGTGCATCGTGAGGTTCATCATCTCCAAAAACAAGTGTGAGTTTGTCAAGAGACCCCTGAACATCATTGACTTACTGGCAATCACGCCGTATTACATCTCCGTGTTGATGACAGTATTTACAGGCGAGAACTCTCAGCTCCAGAGGGCCGGGGTCACCTTGAGGGTGCTTAGAATGATGAGGATTTTTTGGGTGATTAAGCTTGCCCGTCACTTCATTGGTCTTCAGACACTTGGTTTGACTCTCAAACGATGCTACCGAGAGATGGTTATGCTACTTGTCTTCATTTGTGTTGCCATGGCAATCTTCAGTGCACTTTCTCAGCTTCTTGAACATGGGTTGGACCTGGAAGCATCCAACAAGGACTTCGCCAGCATCCCTGCTGCCTGCTGGTGGGTGATTATCTCTATGACTACAGTTGGCTATGGAGATATGTATCCTATCACAATGCCTGGAAGAATTCTTGGAGGAGTTTGTGTTGTCAGTGGAATTGTTCTGTTGGCATTGCCTATCACTTTCATCTACCATAGCTTTGTGCAGTGTTATCATGAGCTCAAATTTAGATCAGCTAGATATAGTAGGAGCCTCTCCACGGAGTTCCTAAATTAATGCATTGCAAATCAAGTCTTGCATACACCTTGTTTGTTAGAAAGACTTACTGCTACTTCATATTCATGTGTTCCTTGCTCGGTGAGCACTGCAGTGTGGTACTGTCATCAACTTGGTAGGGTAAGAATTATCCTTCCCAGCTGAAGGGATAAAGCAATTTACTTATTATGGAGTAAACAAGATTGAGACTGCAAAGGAAAAGTAATGATTTCTAGAGTTAATTTTAATACCTTATTTTATTTAGACTTGTTTCCTCCTCCTTGCCTTGAACAATGACACTTTTTTTTTGTTTTGAAGTATATTATTTGAACATTTTAAAATGGAAAGCTACTATTGTCCAAATGTTTTTCTATCTTATGAATTTAGAAGAGTCTTGGAAGTTATGGTGTTTTTTGTTGGAGAGTAACATTTTCGTTTCTAAATGTTTTATAATCTCTCATATCAATGTCAGAAGTATCCTGGAAACATATGTCACATGCAAGAACTGTTTAACAAATACTTACAAAATTTGGCTGAATTTAAACTGTATAACGGAGCTAGATACAAGCAAGAATAGTATTTGGAAAACTTTTCCAGCATTTCTCAATTCTCGGATTTATTTTTGTTCCTATTATTCACTTTATCATGCAGCTTCATGGAAGCTTGAGTATGCCCTTACTTTTTCATTCCGGGTTTCTTTTATCTCTTTGCTGAAAGGGCTCAAACAAGTAATTTAGAATGAAGAGAGCTTGTATTATTTAGTATTTTATTGGAGTTTATTGTATTTTAATTCATTGCTATTACTAGGTGATAATTGTCCTAACATTCAGATGTCCAAACAAGATTTCCACATAAGAAATAATAGAAGTGGTTTGATATTACAACCCATATTTTTCTTCTGCTGCTTTTTCCCCCACCTAAACAACATGGGTTTAAGTCTTACCAGGTGAAAGGATTTATATATATACCAAAGTCATACTTAGATGTTATCACTGGATTAACATAAAAAGAGAAATGAAATATTTTCTTACTCTTGGTTGCTGTGTAGCTAAGCCATTTTAAGCCAGCTGAGAGCAATGAATACATACTCACTTGATCCGATCTTCACCATCATAAATTATGACCACACCAAAGCTTCTTGCAATAATACTGAATAATATGCCACATTAATTTGGCTAGATTATTAGGCCTAGATGTAAAACTGATGACTATGTAGTGCTAAACTCTAGCAACGTGAATTAAGATTTTTGCTTTGTTAACCAGCTGCCATGAAGAAGTCAGTGTATATACACAAAAAGTTAAAAGTCATTGATTATTGAATAACTTAATGTTGTACACTGTAATTTAGTCAGCGGGGCGGGGGGGGGGGGGCTGGGAGGGGTGGGACCTTGATACATTTATCCAAGAAAGGATTACCAGAAGTGTTCATTAAAGGAATATCAGCCATCGTCTGGTTTAGGTAGAAAAACTGGGCAAGAGAGGATATGATTGTGAAGGAGTTAGGGCTAACACCTGGATCTCTAGAAATCGAGTCCAGCCGCTTATTTTTAACAAATTCTGGGTTTTGAGAAGCCACACTTCTTTGCCAGTGCCATTGCTGAGGTAATAATAGCAAAACTGTTCCTTTCCCCCTATTTCCTTTCCTGAGTTTATGTGATATTTTGGCCTTTAAGAATCTCAACCCACCCAGCCTAGCCGATTTGGCTCAGTGGGATAGAGTGTCAGCCTGTGGGCTAAAGGGTCCCAGGTTCTATTTTTGCCAAGGGCACATGCCTGGGTTGCGGGCTCCATCCGCCCTCCCCCCCCCCCCCAAGTAGGGGGCATACAAGAGGGAGCCAATCAATGATTCTCTCTCATCATTAATGTTTCTATATCTCTATCTCTCTCCCATCCTCTCTGAAATCAATGGAAAAAAAAAAATTTAAGAATCTCACCCCACCCAGACAGTATGGTCAGTGGTTGAGCATCAACCTATGAACCAGAAGGTCAAGGTTTGAATCCCAGTCAGGGCACATGCCCAGGTTGTGGGCTCAATCCCCAGTAGGGGGAGTACAGGAGGCAGTCAGTCAATGATTCTCTCTCATCATTGATGTTTCTCTCTTTCTCCCTCTCTTCCTCTCTGAAATTAATAAAAATATATTTTAAAAAAAAGAATCTCACTCCATCTTCCCTACTACTAGTAGTATGCTACTTGTCACTACTCAAAATAAATTCTGTTATTTATTTTATTTTAATATATTTGAAATAAATGGCATGGATTTAATTTTCCTTACCTATTTGGATTAAAGCTTTGTGAGCCATACAAATAATATGCAGATGACAGCATCCCAACATTATTAATTAAGATATGATCGCCATCCATTTTGCTGGCACAGGGAACTCGTTGTGGGAATACTATGTCTTATCTTCCCCAAGTAAATTAGAAGTGTCTTGAGGACTGGGATCCTCTTTCTTGCACACAATTTCATATTCCCGCAGTGTCTATGACAGATTTCAGCAGAAACTGTGCGCTGATGTGGGGGGAGAAGCTTCTGTGTGAAGAGGCAAGGAGAAGCAAACTCCTATGCATGTGCTTGAGAATACCCACATAGACCTTGAGGCTGCTCTTAAATAACAAGTAAGAAATCTCTTGTTGGTGCTGCCAGACTCCTCATGAAGGAGCATGTGGGAAAAATTCTAAAGACAGTTCAGCTACCTATTTACTAAGAATGATGACGAGACATGGTAGAGTAGTTCACTTATGAGTAATATATATAATGGATATTGTAATTTTTTTTAGGACAGAAGCATTTTATAATAACTTCCCTTAAATGTTATTGCCTTTAAAAAATCATTCACTAGGACTTCTTTCTTGGTTGTGCTTTTAGACATTTTTCCTAACTCAGTCTTCCTGGCACAAATGCTTTCATTTAGGATCTTTATTAGTAGCAAGCAGTCAGATAGTATCCTAATTAGAACGCCCAACGAGGAAAGAGGAATGGTTCTGATTTTATGTAGGACTTGTTTTTTATTCTCTAAAATAGGATTTTTTTTCAGGATTAGAACACATTTGAAAGTATTCAAGGCCTTATTTATCTTTTGCTTTTATGACTACTGTTATTGTGGGTTGCTGGTGAAACAGTTGCATTTGCTTTGCTTTTGGGTTTTGCAGTTACTTGTGGCCACACTTTTGTAAGTTTTTACTTTCTTAAAAATGTAGAAATATATTCTTTCACAGTGGCTGTCAGTAAATTAAAGTAATATTTCCTGTTTTTAAGCTTTTGTCCTGATGTCTTGCCCAGGTCTCCCATGAGCTGGGGAGCTAGGAGGTGAGGGAGGATGGATTAAATTGAATGTTGGTGTTGGAAGGATTTTCTTTGTTGGCTTGATATTTTCTAGAAGCAGCTTATTTCCTCTTTGCTATAGAAATGAAAAATAAAAAACTGAAAACTCCTAGCTCTGTTTATTGTTAAGCTTACATAACGCCAGACAATGCATAACTTCCCAAAATATTTCCAGAGCCCCCTGACCCTCCGTAAAGGTCTATTCACTTATGGTATACAATGTATAATACAATCAGATATGGTGTAAATAGTGCTCAGGGTCATAGGAAATTAGAACTGAAGGGCCCTGGAAACCTCTGGTCCCATCCAGATGTTAGCAACGAGGGCACTGTTTTCCCAATGGGTTGTGATTTAGCCATTGTCACCCACAGGGAGTCCAACTTGCCCCTATTTGCCTGCGACTTTCTTGGTTTTAGCACTGAAAGTGCCCCACCCTGGGAAACCCCTTAGTCTAAGGCGAGTTGGCATCCTAATGTCAGGGCAGGACCCAGAAACCTCGCTTCTGGACTTTTTGTCAGTGCTCTCTGGACATATTTCTATTTTATTCTATTACATACTAGAGGCCTGATGCATGAATTCATGCACGGGTGGAGTCCGGCTAGCCTGCCCTCATCAGGCAATGGGGCCACAGGCAGATGGAGGGCCAGCCCCACTCCTGATGGGGGGCGGGGGGCAATCAGGGGCAGGGCCAGCCAGGGGAGGGGCCACAAGCAGTTGGCCACCCTGGTCAAACTCCAGGTTGAACTCCTGGTCAAACTCCCAGTGGAGGGAACAATTTGCATATTAGCCTTTTATTATATAGGATTATTTTATTTCTTTTTTGTTTTTTATTCTGTGACTAACAATTTAAAATATTTTCTTTGGGACACCTTGTTATAGGTCAAATAAAAAGCAAATGTTGCTTTTAGACACCCTAGAAGTCAGGAAGGAGGGCTTGGGACCAGTGTATAGGGAAGCCAAATTTTCAGTAGAGTTTTTAAATTGCAAAAATTCTCACTTATGTACCCATTTACATATATACAAACAAGTGCAGTTCCTGGTTACCATTGCAGTATTTAGAAGGTACAGGTTGAGCAATGTCATAGCTGAATGGGAAGTAATATGGATTGAAGCTTGAATGGAATGTTCTGGAAAAGTTCCATTTTGGTCAGGATGCATGCACTTCTCTGTTTGTTCAGCATGTTTCATATGGTGTTTTGCTTCCTGCCTTTCTAGTCCCATCTGCACTCAGAGCACGGCATATCAGTTCTGCCCCTGAAAGTAAATTAATGATTTACTGCTCTATGCTGTGGAGCCTTCCAAAGATTTGTGGAAATGCCATCGGCAAGCACGATTATATTGTCCCATTCTGTGACTAACGTTTTTTCTTTTAGCAATTCCCCACTTACGTCTAAACATTTAGATTTTTCCAATTCTATCTCAATAAGCACTTCAACTTTTGACCATTAGTGTAAGTGCAGTTGTCAGTTTATTATTTATTTAGGGGATTGAACTTGATTATCTGCATCTATGCTGTAATTTAAGCAAATTAATTTTAAGTAACTTTGGTGAGAATCCTTTGATTTATATTAAATATCAATACTGTACCAAGTACAGTGAAAGCATAAATGACATTTAGTGGATTCTGGAAGTCAGGGGGAATAAATAGAATTTGGGTTTCACTGACCAGGACTAATTAATGCTCTGTCATTTATATCTGAAGTGTTGCTCTTGCTTTATTTATGCAACCTTGTATTAAAACTAAAACTAAAATTTCCCATAATTTTGTATTAGGTAGGTGTTTTTTTCTCTCCCATAGGTTTAATTTGTTTTGAAATAATTCTGTGACCATGCCCATGACCCAGTAGAGGCCGTCTGTAGGGTGTATTGTTATAAAGTGCTTTTGTTTTTTTAAAGAAAGGAAGGATAAGTAATGACAGGTGTTTTTCCTGTATTACAAAGGATTTGTTTAGCTTACATATTGCTTTTTACCGTATGTTAACAAGCTTGACCTTGCAGCTGTGATGGACTTACATGCTTTCCTTCTCTGTGGACAGAGGGCAGGAGACCTTCACTTCCTTAGTGGAGAGCAGTATTTGAGTTACTGAAACTCGGATACCAGAGAAATGTGTGTGTCCGTAGCTATGCATATATTTATTTTGTCTTAGGTGTTTAGCCACTGCTCCTCTTTCATATGAAACACTTGGAAGTAAAATGCAACATTATGAAATCACTTCCAGGGCCATGTGAAAGCTGTTTGTTTTGGTTCATAGGACAGAAATGGAAAGTTCAGATTTTTTTTATTTCTAGATAAATTGTCTAATATCTGTATCTTTAGTCAGAAAATTTTACCATTTGGAAGTTTTTTAAAAAAACACACAAATAATATAAGTAGTATAGTTGTAAAGTTAGGATAATGGGTCATAGTCCCCTTCTTGGTAAGATATGGCTTGTAATCTTGTAATTAAGGGAAATCGCCATTTATTACCTTCCAGTCAACTCAGTTTAAAAGGTCAGATAGAAATTGAATATAAGTATATTTGTGTCTTTTTCTTAACATTTTAAAATTTATTATTTTTTCTGTGCTGTAATACAAGGCAGAGATAGGAACGATGTGGCATGCAAGAAGTAATTAGGTGCATCCCACTTTTTAATAGGTTTCCAAACGTGTATGAAAAAAAAAAGGTTTGGAAACATTATACTTTAAATACGGGAACTTAGTTAGGGAATCCTTTTAATCTGTGAGTCATCCTTCTGTTGTGTTACTATCCCCTAAAGTATATGATTTTTAGATTTGATTTTTCAAGTACATACGAATGAGATGTCTTCCTGAGAAGGGCATACCTGCACGGGGATCAGATTTAGATCAAATTATTGAAAAGCTTCTATGTATCAAATCAGATTTGAGAAATTATCATAACACTTGTCTTAATAACGAGGCTGTTTTCAACTAATAAAAAGGTGTGGTTTTCTGGTCCTCACAAAAGTTTTCTAAGGGGTAGCTGGGGATGGTAGATGGATACCTTCTTTCTAATACCTGTTCTAGAT